CTTGCTCTTCCTCCTCCCTCCTCCTCCTCCCTCCTCCTCCTCCTCCTCCTCCTCCTCCTCCTCCTCCTCCTCCCTCCTCCTCCTCCTCCTCCTCCTCCTCCTCCTCCTCCTCCTCCTCCTCCTCGTCCTCGTCCTCGTCCTCCTCCTCCTCCTCCTCCTCCTCCTCCAAGAAGCCCTGCCACCTTCTCAGTAGCCCACCCCCCTCGCGCCACCCCCCGTGTAGGCGCCGGCAATGTGCGCACAGAGTGCGAGGCCCGAGGGCCTGAGGCGCACCTCGGGTTCGCGCGGGAGCTCAAGGTTACACGCAGGGGGCGGCCTGGAATCGGCCGGCGTCTTTGGATCTGCGCTGCCGGAAGGCCGCGATCGCGCAAGGTCGATTGGCCCCACGCTGACGTGATCGCGGTGTCATTTTGTCGTCATAAGTGTTGCTTCCTGAGGCTGGTCGCGTTTGCCCCCCAAGTGTCGCAGGGTAAGAGTTCTGATTGGCCGCAGCCCCAGGGTTTTTGCCTCCAGGGTTTGAGTTGCTTTGGCGCTGAATTCTTGCTGACTTGAGGCTTTCTGGTGGGTGGGAGATCTGCGCATGGCGAGAGCTGCAGCGCAAGGAGGGCATAGGATGACCACTTCCACGAATCACTGATTCAGCGGGGTCGGGTGGCAGTGGGATCTGTCGGAGCGAAGGATTCCCGTCCACGCGAACCCATTTCAAGTCGCACACGTGTTGGCTATCTCGGGGCGAACAAACGTCCTTGCAGTCACCCTCTCGTTGTCATCATGATCCTTCTGGCGGTGGGGGCGCTGGAGCGGCCCGGTCCGGAAGGGCCCCCGCTCATCCACTGACTTTGGATCCGCCGTATTTGGGTTGATTAGCCGATGAAGTTGTAAAGGAAAAGCGCCCCCAATGACGCGAAAAAGTACAGTCGGGGCCCTGAAGAAGGAACCCTTTTCGTTGGGGAGGGGCTCGGTGTTCCTTGCTTGTTCTGCATTGTACCTTCGGTTCTCCTGATGTTTCCCATGGGAAATCAAAGTTCAACTTTTGGGAGAAAGGGGCCTCGTTCCTTATTTAGGGTTCCTTAGGTCAACGCCCCGACTGTAGGGCGGAAATGTCCGCCTGAGAAATAGATAGGGGGGACATGTTCACAAGAGTGTGAAGGAAGCAGCGCCGGCAAGGTGGGGCGGGCATCGACAGCAGAGGAGCTCGAAGAGCAGGGAGGACATTCCCGCCCTGCCGTCGAAGGCGGCCAAGAAGTGCGGCGGATCCAGAGTCGGGGTCATGGAGGCCCCCCCCCCCCCAAAAAAAAAAAAGAGTCGGGGTCCTGGAGGCCCAGCGGGAGGAGGGGCACGGGGCCCGGGGACTCGGCCATCAGGAGGGGAAAGAGACAGACAAAAACAAGCGCCGATGCCGATGAAAAAAATGCGGGGAAATGGGAGCACGCGCGCAGGAAGTTCGCGCCCGGACGGCGCCTCGGCAGAAGATCCACATGATACGAAGCCCGAGGAAGAGTACACCTTAGGCGATGCTTAAGAAAACCTAAGTTTTCGGCCAGAGTCTTGATTATTCTTAACTTTTCAATGTAAATCCCAAGATTTTGATCGAAGTTCTGGGTTTTTATGCAAGTTCTGAGACTATGAATTTCTTAACCCATGGTTTCTTAAGCATTTCGCAGGGTGTATGAAAGATGGCGTCGCGAATGCCAGCGCGCCGGAACACAGACGCTGAGCGCAGGTCAATGTTCGGCGGCTGAAGACGATGCGTGTGCGGGACAGTAGGCAAGAGGGGAGAGGGGAGGGGGAAGGGGAGAGAAAGCGACGATGGAAAGAGGACACCGAGCTGAGTATGTCTGCGGTGCTGTATCACGGCAGCCTCCCGCTGCGTAGGTGAGCTTCTCGGAAGATGTTGTAAACGACCCGGATCGCCGCCCGTCATGTTCAGGGCGCAGGCGTGCATGTAGTGGCCCCATTGAACTCTAAGATGTCCTCGTTTGCGGCATATGTTCAAAATTCTGGGTAAAATATCGCCCGCCTGGCAGTCTTGGAAAACCAATTGTCTAGGCAGCGTCCAGGGGTGATCTCGGGTGAGTTTCCATAATACGTGAGCTGTCTCTGCAATAAAATTGTCGACAGATGGCCAGCTTTGCTTCTCTCTTTCACTTCTTCATTACTTACCCTCGACATGAAGGCCGCTCTTCCGCAGACTCCGAGCCTGAAAACCGTCGAGCTTTCCTTGGTCGGCGGCAAAGACACACGATTCAAGTCCGCATAGCAATTCAGAGAAAATCGATGTTTCCAGTATGTGGGTTGTTCGTTGACGAGATACATTTGTGCGGTGCCAAACAGCACTGAATTTTTCGAGAGCCCCTTTCGCTTAACCAATACGTTATGTTAATTTTGTTTTGGGGTTCCCGC